AAACATAATGTAGAACTTCAGTTAAGATGAATATACTTTATCATATAAGGTAGTATTCTTATTCTTAAAAAAAAATCAAAGGTATAAGTTGTATTTTGCTAAATGCCTATCTAAGAAGGTGAGCATATGGCTTTGATCTTTAGCCCTAAGCTCATTAATATGATTGATTATATGGTATTTTTGCCCAATTCCTCCTTATCCAGTATCAATATGACTACTGCTTTCATTTTGTTTGGAGTTGCCTGAGTGTCTATCCATCCTATCAAGGTTAATTTTTCTGAATTATTTTGTTTTATATGTGTCTCTATAAAGTGCACAGAATTGGGTTTTCTTTTGTGGTCCAATCTGAATTTCTTTTAATAGGTGAGTTTAGCCTATTTCCATATATTGACATAAGACACATTTTTTTTTTGTTGTTCACAACTCTACCATTTTTTGTATCTATAGCTTTTAAAAAATAGTTCATTACATGGTCTTTGCTTTTTTTCCAGAGCATTAATCCTTATATTTAGGAAGATCTGTATTTTTGTTCTAGTAGCTAACTTTGTAATTACAATTGTGTATAATATCTTTACTTCTCTATTTTCAACACCATTTATTTATCCCCTATCATATGGAATGATAAAACTACTATATTTCCTTATTCTTCCCCTTCCCTTCTCCTTTTTTAACACTTAATTTTTTATATTAAAAAGAGAGATAATACTAACAACAAATACAGAGGTGATCATAGAGTTAGTACTCAGTTTTAAAACATTTTTCAGAAAAGCTAGGAATCAAATCATGTCACAGTTCATTAGACCAAATTTCCACTTTACTTTTTTTCTTTTCCTTTTTTTTTTGAGTTGGAGTCTCACTCTGTCACCCAGCCCGGAGTGCAGTGGCCGCTCCCGGCCACCGCAGCCTCAACCTGCTGGGCTCAGGTGATCCTTCCGCTCAGCCTTCCAAGTAGCTGGAACTACAGGAACGCACCACCACGCCCAGCTAATTTTTTTGATTTATTGTAGAGATGAGATCTTGCCATGTTGCCCACACTGGTCTTGAACCCCTCAGTTTCTTTTTTTTTTTCTTTTTGAGTTGGAGTCTCACTCTGTCACCCAGACTGGAGTGCAGTGGCCGCTCCCGGCCACCGCAGCCTCGCCTGCTGCGCTCAGGTGATCCTTCCGCTCAATCTTCTGAGTAGCAGGAATTACAGGCGCGCGCTGCCACGCCCTGATTTTTTGATTTATTGTAGAGATGAGGTACCATGATCACGAAGGTGGTTTTCCCAGGGTGAGCCTTCTCCATTGTACTTTTTTTTAAAAGTCATTTTTCTGCCCGGCTCGGTGGCTCAGCCTGTAATCCCGCGCCTTTGGGAGGCTGAGGTGAGTGAATTGCCTGAGCCCGCGGGTTCGAGACCCGCCTGGGCAGCGAGACCTCATCTCTACAATAAATCAAAAAAGCAGCCGGGCATGGTAGCACGCGCCTGTAGTTCCGGCTACTCGGAAGGCTGAGGCGGAAGAATCGTGGAGCCCAGCAGGTCGAGGCTGCGGTGGCCGGGAGCGGCCACTACACTCCAGTCTGGGCGACCGAGTGAGACTCCAACTCAAAAAAAAAAAGTCATTTTTCTGAAGGATAATTTACATGCAGCAAAACTTGGTCTTTTCAGTGCATATTTATATGTGTTTTGATAAATACACACAGTTGTGCAATAACACCATAGTCAAGAGACACAACAATCCTCATCACTCAATTTAATGTCAGCTTTGCAGTGCTAAATGTACTTATAATTCTATTACTTGATCTGTCAACTTTAAATAACAGTCCAAAAATTGCTGTTAAAGATACAGCAATTAAAGTATGAACATTTCCTCTTATCTACTTTCTGTATTCCCTTTTCAAATTTTGTGAGATGTAGTATTTGACAGTGCATAAAAAAAATTACATTCTACGTTGTCATCCTAAAAGATAAATTTGTTAGTTTTAATTCTAGTTATAAAGACACCTACTCATAATGACCAATATATTCCTCCTCATGGCTTGGTTGGTTGAATATAAAACACGACAAATCCTGCCACACAATTAATGCTCAGTAAATCTTAGCTAGAAATAGTAGAAATACACTTTAGTAAACCTGCTTTAATTAACTTTACAAAATTATTTTTATTAGAAGTAACAGCAGTAAATGTGTAACTCTAAAGTACTGTGAATTGTTTGGTTGGTAACAGGGAGGATGAACACCCCAGTTATTGGCTTTGTTTTATAAAGCCTCACTCCATCCCCATATAAACATGATGTGATTATATACATGTATAGTGAGATATAAATTGAACTTAAATTCATATAAAAACAAATTGTGGTCCCATTATATTTATACGGGCCTCCAATATTCTCCCCCTCTCTCATAATCCAGTTATTCTTCCTAAAATCTTTACAATATTACTAATTGCTTAGTAAATCTTTCATTCAGAAAATCAAAGGAAAACTTTATAACAAAATAATGAGTATCAGAGTGAGACTCCAACTCAAAAAACAAACAAACAAAAAAAGAATGAGTATCTAAGTGACTGGTATTATTCATCAAGACATACTAAGTACACAAACAGACTAACTTATTTCATGCTACTCTTCTCTGACTATACTTTTCTCTTGGTTCTGTTAACAAATAACAGGCAACAACACTGCCTAAGCAGTTAAATGCTGACCTTTCTTTAGTATACCACCAGATTATCTTCAACCTAATATTAACTATATTAAAGTATCAAAAGAGCTAGATTTACCAGCCTCCCCTTTATCCCTCCGATGGTGGGAAATAGCTCTGCCATTGTTCTCATTGCTATAGGTTCTTAATGAAATTTCACTGAGAATTCAATTTAAATGTATTAAGTTGCTGTCGGTTCTTCAGTAAGATCAATGAAAACCATTCAGGGAGGTATGGAAACAGTTACCAGAATCTTCCTTAGAACTTTGAAGTCAGAATAACATTAAAAAAAACACTTTACTAGGGAAACAAGGTTTAGAGAAAAGAACATGAATACTGGAGTCACCCAGATCTAAATTTAAAAAGAAAAATCAAAGATGGAATAATTTGTGTTATTTAGAACACATTTATGAGATTGTTTTTAAAATCTCAAAGGGCTGTCGTGAGGATCTAATAACATAAATAAAGGTGGGGTATGGTATTTGGCAGTTAGTAGATAGTCAACAAATGCTAGAGAATGCTGTTTTTTAATCATTAAGTATACAGGTTGAGTTTGCCTAATATGAAAATCCAAAATACTCCGAATCCCAAAACTTCTTGAACACCAACATGAGCTCAAGGAAATGCTCACTGGACCATTTTGGACTTCAGATTTTTAGACAGGGATGTTCAACCAGTAATTATCAGAATATAATGCAATTATTATATTCCGAAATTAAAAAACAACAACAGCAACAAATCCAAAACACTTAAGGTTCCAAGCATTTCATATAAGGGATACTCAACCTGTAGAAGTTACTAAGAATACAAAGTGGTTACAATTATAGAAAGACATGGCCAACTGTTACAGGGTAAAATATATCTAAGTATTCTAGTCAGGCTCATGGCAGACATCAGGAACAGATTTTTAAATGGCTCCAGAAAAATATCACAATAAAATGACCACATTTTGAAAAAGAGAGGAAATCCATTTAAATGCTATTCTAAAAGGAACTCTATTGTTCCGAAGAATTTTCTCTGCACTTGATGTTTTGGCCTTACTGATTTTTAACTGTACCAAAACCACCAAAGTAACTTCACAGAACATGGATGGGGGCAGGAAGCTTAACTATGGTCAAGTACTTCATGTCAACAGTTTGAAATGTCTCTCCTTTCTGCCCACTTTTGTGTAACAGTTTTACTGGCTGTATTCTGACCATAAAAACTATGTGCTGATTCTGAAGTTTTAAGAAAGGTGTAGGGAGGTAAGTGAAAGGGGACAGATGCTATTCAATTCAGTTTTAATCATTCAATTCAATAACATGTATTCAGAAGCGGGGAAACTCATTGAAGAGTCAAAGTCAAACAAAATATAATCCTTGCTCTGAAAGACATTCTCTTTGTATGCAATTGTTCCTAGCAGAGGGCCCGTAAAAACATAGTCTCACTCTGAATATGCTGAGGTAATATGATTAAGTTTTCCAGAGATGTGAAAATAAAGCCTTCCACATTTATTTGGATCCATTTATATAAGAATTGGGTATGTTGCACTTTTAAAACTTAATAGAAACCAAACAGTTACTACTTTAAATGTTCTCATTAAATCATAGAAGTCAGGTTTATTAATTAGTGAAATCATGAATAATCTCCAACTTAGTATGAAATATACTATTACAAAAAGGGAACTAAATGCACAAGGATTAAAAATAAAAAGGAAGCTGGGCTCGGTGGCTCAGCCTGTAATCTTGCGCCTTTGGGAGGCTGAGGTGAGTGGATTGTCTGAGCCCACGAGTTCGAGACCAGCCTGGGCAGCGAGACCTCATCTCTACAATAAATCAACAAATCAGCCGGGCGTGGTAGCGCATGCCTGTAATTCTGGCTGCTTGGAAGGCTAAGGCGGAAGGATCACCGGAATCCAGCAGGTCGAGGCTGGGGTGGCCGGGTGCGGCCACTGCACTCTAGTCTGGGCGACAGAGTGAGACTCCAACTCAAAAAAAATAAAAAAAATAAATAAATAAAAATAAAAAATAAAAAGGAGTTTGTTAGATTTTAATTTGAATGTCAAAAAGCTTCTAAAACCCAGTCTTCGGGTTTTCATTAAAAATATCTCTTAATAAAAAGCATTCTTGAGAATCCCATTAACCTGGAGTCCTGCATATCTTATATAATGTTCTACTTTCAACAATATAGTAAACTAATATCTTGAAGCTTCTTCTAATGAAAACATCTTTCATCTCTATTGGGAACTTTCTCAGCCATGCATAGTTTATTTGAAATCCAAAGGTTCATGTGGTTCTGCCAGACTAAAATTAGAATACTAAAACTAAACTTTTATACTCACCCGATCCTCCTTTTGCCAAGTATTTGTTCTTTGCACAAAGGACAGAATCTAACATAGACTCGAAAAGAAGAAAATAACCCTGTATAACAAAGGAAAGAAAAAAGATTTTAAAAATGTGCAATGTCCTCATAAGCAGGTCAATTCAAATTTTAAAATTATATTTTTGTTTCTGCCATAGAATATTCTGCAAAGTCTGTAATTATTTTTTGCACTTATTTCTCCATATAATAAAAATTATTAGAAAATAAAGCTAGGATACAAAGTGGTAGAATATATTGAATCTTCTTTATCTGGTTTCCACTTTCCACACTACTGTTTTTTCCTCATTAAAGAAAAAAAACTTCAGATAGAAGTTATTAACAAACGCTATAACTCCCTTGAATGTTGCAATATTAACCGACAGCGGAGGGTCTCCACTAATTTTGATCCCTGGGGGACACGTGGCAATGTCTGGAGACATGTTTGACTGTCACAATAGGGGTGAAGTTGAAGGAATACTACTCTCATCTACTGGGTAGAGGCAAGGATGTTCATAAAGATCCTACAATGCATCTTCCACAACAAACTACCTGGCCCCAAATGTCAACAGAGCTAAAGTTGAAAAATTCTAGTCTAGGACACTATTTCCCAAAAGATTTTACTTCCTGCCTAATGACTTTCTTTTGCTTTAAAAAAAAAAAGGGACGGGGAGGGAATCCTTAATCAAAGAGATAAGAAACACCAGATACCCATCCTCCTCCTAAAAGATTCATAAGGTACATGAGCACACTAAAAGTTCAGAATAGTTGTTATGTTAAAGAGAACTGCTGAACAAACTTTAACCAAGAATTACCCACTTTTTGACTATTTTACCTTTTTGAAAAAAAATTTAACATCTACCAGCATCCTGCAGAACTAGTGTTGCTTAAAATATAGTTCATGAAACAATCCTGGTATACTCCAATTTTTTAGTATAGTAATGAATCTTCTACCAAGAAAGGATAATAATCACAGTACAAATGAAGAGAATTTGCCAGAATGGGTGTCACGAATATACTGCAATCTATAGTATGTCACACAGTTTATTATACAAATGACGAAGTCATCACTACTGAGAAATCAATACCCACTTCAGTCAGCCTTTCTCCCTCTAGGGCCAATTCCTAACCACCCCTAAGGCGAGGGAAAAGTCCAGTGCTCAGCACAGTGTTTAGCATATAACACACCTTCCTACTGTTTTGGGTGAACCAATATAAATTTTATCCTTATCTTAGCATTCTAAATAAAAACTATTTTCATCCACTCATTTGTTCTGTGCACAAATAATACCTGATGGGATAAGTGCAATATTCTTTAACCAACCAGACAAAAAGTATTTTAAAGATTTTTTTAGAACAAGAAAAATCTGCAAATTCAGAACAGATAATCTACACAAAAGATTTAACAGCAAATTTACATTTATACAGGCTCTCAGGCTTGAATCACTTATAAAGGAACCTAATAAAACTGCCACATTGACTTTTACCTATTCCCCCAATACACTAATTCATTGATAAGAAAATAATCACGTACAAAACAAAGACTTAGCAATAAAGCTTGCTTATTAATGAGTTAACAGTGGGAAAATTAAGGATTTGGTGGAACCTTGTTTTTCTAGATAGAGCACTTCAGTAATATGTCAAACTCTTACATGTTACATATAGCCTATATTTAAAGAACAAGTGATTTATGAAATTTAATTAAGAAATCTTTACTAATCTGACTACACATACAAATGCTTACAGACATTCAGTTGTTGCTTAAAGGGAATAAAATTTATGCTGGCCGGGTGCAGTGGCTCAAGCCTGTAATCCCAGACTTTAGGAGGCTGAGGTGAGGGGATTGCCTGAGTCCATGAGTTTGAGAACAGCCTGGGCAACTTGGCGAGACTTCATCTCTACAAATAATAAAAAAATTAGCTGGGTATGGTAGTGTGTGCCTGTAGTTCTGTTTACTTGGAAGGCTGAGGTGGAAGGATTGCCTGAGCCCAGTAGGTCAACGCTGGGGTGGCTGTGAGCATGCCACTGCACTTCAGCATGGGCAACAGAGTGAGACTCCAACTCAAAAACAAAATAAAATAGAATAGAAAAACAAAATAAAAGGAAGTATTAAAAGGGAGGGCATCTATTTATCCTCGGGGAAAAAAATTGGTTGATAAAACATGCTAATAGATTGGGGAAAAAAATTGTCCCCATTTGCAAGATTGTTGCATTTTAAAACATTAAAATAAAATAAATACAATACATTCACACTTTAGGACAAATTATTCACTATAGTTCAATCCTTTTCGGCTGAGAGCAAAAAATGTTTATTTTTGGTTTGTCATTGTGTCAAATTGCTTTCTAGTATTAATTACTTTCAGCTCAGCTGTTACTTCATCAAAAAGCACTTCTCAGCTGTCCCTACATAAAATAACCTCTTCTTCCTTCCTTCATCAAGCTCCATTTCTTTACCCTTCTTTGTATCTAATCATAGCATTTATGAATTAAAATATTATTCATTTTTGTTCTTATTTTGTCTCTTTATTAAAACATAAGCTTCAAGATCAAAGACTTTATCTATATTATTTGAAGCTATGTTGCCAAGGACTTGAAATGTATCTGATACATTTCAAAATAGCAGGAATTCAACATATAACTTTGGAATAAATAAGGGTTATTAATTCTGTATATGTGCATAATTATACGTGTTAAAATGAAACTTTTATATATAAAATCTTTTTTATGGCATAAATTAAAATTTGTTATTTTACCTTTTTTTTTACTCAAAGGCTAATGAGTCTGAAAAATTAGTTATTATAAAAGATACTTGTTTTCTAAAATTAAAACTGTCAAATAATAATAGTGGTAATAATCAAAATTCATTATAGTGCTTCTTTAAGGATTACTTGATTTAATTCTTCCCCAGAGTACATTTTATTGTTATTGTGGTTTGACTGGTGAGGAAACTAAGGCTTAGCAATATTAAATAAGTTAGGACCTAAAAAACAGCTCACAGTCACACAGTGAGTGAATGAGACGAATTTGATATTCTAACTACCGAGGTCAAGCTCTGAATTATTATTCTATATTGCCTCTTAAATTGAAATGTCTAATTGAAAATAAGATTTAGTGTTTGTATTAAGAATTATTACGTTTGTAATTAAGAATTCAAGCATTCCAAAATGAAAAATTTCCCATAGAGCATATTAAACAAGATTAAAATTTACAACAGGTATGCTATTCAGAATATGTCAGGGTGATATCTTAGTTGGCAACTGGGTCTTAGCAACCATTCACTGTGAAAGTATTAGTTTGGAAAAATCAGTGCACATGCTAGAATATATGTGGAACTAATATAACATTTGTGAGATCAGTTAAAATGCCCAGTTACCAACACTAGCAGGTAAAAAGATTCATATATGTATTGCTAATGGTCACTGTCTTTTCTCTCAACTTTCCACTTTGCCAAACTTCATTTTACTATAGGCTCCCTATGTGATAGAACAGCCTTTACATTTTTGGGAATTGTCCTTGGTTCTGAACCAAGTCATTTATTACTGATATCAAAAGGCTTTGGTCCAAATACCCTGCTTATCTGTAGTGTAATTCAGACTGCAATTTCACAGGCTACTGCCTCACCTGTAGGGGTGCCATCTGGAAGGAGAATTATACCTGATATTTTCTCCCATGATGCTCACAGGGCATTCTTCTTTCAAAAATGACATTTACTTTTTAGAATTAAATATTGCATTTACACTTCAAGAATTAATTACTATGAAAAAAACATGAAATTAAATTAGGGACTAGAATATTAACATTATTCATTAAAATCGGAAACTTATTTTAAAATGCATGCTCATGCCATCTTCTTGGATTAAAAAAAAACAACAAAAAACCCAACTTGTGTTCTCAAGCTTCAGTCCCATAGCGGGGAAAAAAACCTTGTGATACCATAAGAATCAGGAGTGCGGTTACCTCTGAGGTAGGAAGTTGTAACTGAAAAAGAATACTTGGATGGCTTCTTCCTATATTTTGATCTGGCTGATAATTACACAAGTATTCATTATACAACTACTTGTTATACCACACCTATAAGTTTAAGCAATTTTCTGTATATGTTACATTTCATTTCTTATGAAAGGAAAATTTACATGACTAGAATACATAATGTGTAATAATACAGGTGAAAGCAAAAAGAACACGATCTTATCTGTTTATAAGCACTTCAACATGTGTGAAGCATACATAGGAGAAAAATGACTGCCTCTGTGGAAGGGGTATAATAGCAGGGGTATAGGCAAGGGAGGAGACTGGTTCTTCATTATAAAGTCTTTTGTATTGTGGTTATGTATTATTTGTTCATAAAATTAAAAAAGAAAAAAAAAGGTAACAAACCTAATAGTCTTTCATATTTTATTTTGGAAAGAAAAGTAGAACTGACTTTTAAAAGGAAACATTAGGATTATAGACAGAGACTATGAGAGTGGTTAAAAAAAAAAATTCATTGTCTGCTATGTTTAAGAAATCCACTTTAAATATAGAATCATAGATAGGTTAAAAGAAAAAGAGTGGGAAATATACAACACTGAAATATAACCATAAGAAAACTTATGGTTATATTGCTATCAGATAAAGAAGACTAAAGAACCAAAAATATTATCAGGGGCAAAGTTCATAATGATAAAAACCAGTCAAACTGTATCAAGAATACATAATAATCCTGATGTGTATGTACCTAACAACCACATAAAAATACCTGACCAGCATTGAAGGGAGAAAAACATAATCCTGAAGTACAGGAAGAAACTTCATTATTCTTCTTTCAGTAATTTACAGAACAAGTAGACTTGAAATAAATAAGCATTTAAAAGACCTGAAGGATGCAATCAACCAACTTGACCTAAATGATAAAAATGTAACACACTCCATCCAGCAATAACAGAATACTTCATTCTAAATCAATGTAGAACTTTCAACAAGAAAGACCATATGCTGGTTTCTATATGCAGGTCTGAACAAACTAAAGGAATGATAACATGCAGCGTATATTCTCTTACCACAACCAAATTAACTTAGAAAT